CCCACCTGAGGCCCCACAGAACCCACCATTGATCCTGCACAGCCCACAGAGACTGTCTATAGTAAGCTCTGCAGGGTCTCAGGTGGGCTGGTCGGGGGGGCCCTTTCCTTGCAGCTCCTTACTTCTTACAGCCCAGGCGTCCTCCCATGTCATTGCCCGCCCGTCGGTGGTTCCATCGTCCAGTTCTCTGCCGGGCAATGTGGAGTGCAGCCTCGGCGGGGGAGCGCGGAAGTTCCCTCTGCTCTGTGTCGGCTCTCTCTCTCCCCTCCTGCTCTCGCTGCTGGGTTGGAGACGGAGCCGTGTCTCAGTGAAGTGCCGGCCGGGGGAGCTCTCTGAACCCGCAGTCAGATGCGCATTTCCTTGTACCACCCGCCCTCGGCACGCCATCCCTGCTGACCTCTCTTGTACATTAGGTAGGTTAGGTGGCTGCAGCCGCCTAACTTGCCTAATTAAAGAGCCGCCTCTGGGGCCCGTCCTCCTGTCCTGGGCCCCCTCTAATTGGCGGAACTCCAGGGCCCGGTCGCGGCTGCGACCGTTGCGACCCTGGTAGTTCCGCCACTGTCTCCAATAAAGCATTTAAAAAAGGCACCTAAAGTGACTGGCACCCAACTCTCTTGATCTCCCATCCCTTCACTGGCTAAGGATTTGCCCCTGAGAGTGAAATGTCAGCCCTCTCTACCCTTTGGGGTCCTCCTCAGGCCCCTGGGGGCCAGGGGGGTGCTACAGTATGTTTTAGTAAATGCCCTCCAGTTATATATTCTGTAAAAACAGGCAAACAGGCAGTTCACTTTGCATTGGAATTTGCACTTTGTAGGGGACGTTTCCCTTAGCATAGTGAAAATTCAGTTTGTAAAGAATACCCATTCACAAACAAGGTAAAAAAAGGAATTTTACTTACACAAGATTAGTTGATGGAAGTCTGCAGAGCTTCACCTCATTCACTAATCTACGAGAAACTTCCCCTGCAAAGTGCAAATTCCCTTGCAAGTGAACAGCCTATTTTTCTTTGGTATATCATCCCCGTAGATCCTCACTTGCATTGCCACCCAGAAGGTAGCAATATTTTACGGCCCAAAAATCCTTGCAATTATCCACAATAACGTGCTTGTGGTAAATTGAGCTGACCCATGTGATAAAACCTTTAATGAAATAAATAAGACATTTGGATTGTTAATAATTGCAAATGATGCACAGTATTGAATCTTCCACACAAATCATGTGCTTTTGTGAATGGACACTTTTGTTTTCTCGATTGTTATGTCTAACCATGACCAGGTGCGTCCCTAGCCTTTTTGCCGCCTGGGGGAGTGTTGCTGGATGGTGCACAATTAGTGGGGGGAAGACGGGGGACTGATGGAAAGTGACACCACCTAAAGCCGAGCGGGGAGATGTGTAAGGGCTTGGCATCTCTTAGCAACCTGGGACACTCTGGCTGGCGTCCTACTGAGCTGCTGGCAACCACTGACGTCATTGGTTCCCAGAAGCTCTGTGAGATGCTGTCAAGAGTGTCCCAGGTTGCTAAGAGCTGGGCAGAGAGATGTGTATGGCCCTTACACATCTCCCCACCCAGCTCTTAGCAACCTGGGATGCTCTGCCTGGACAGAGGATGGCATGCACACTGCAAACATTGTGTCATGCCGCTCTGCCTGCCGGTCCCTTCCACGTGAGGCCTCAGGCTGCCTCATTATAAGGACTGCCCTTACACTGAACTAAAGTTTTGTGCACACAAGGGGGCATTCAGAATGGCTAATAATCACAAGCTCTGCGTAAGGCATCTACATTTCTGTGATCTCAGAGTGTCTGACAGCCTTTGATGATGTGATAACCTTTTCTGTCATTGGCTACCCTTAGGAAGCCATCTTTCCCAGGAAGTCCTGCAGCCTCAGTCCGTGCTTGTGTTTACTAATCCCAACACAATATATGTGGATAGCTTAACTGCAGGTGTTATTGACTTGGAAAGAAAAAACTCAACCGATGCTTATATACATTTGTTAGACTAGTCATAGTAAAATGTGGTCATGTTTTAGTGAAGAATAATACACAGATAGCAGGTTACAGTGAAAGGGATGCATCAAGAGAGAAAGTGGCAGCCACAGGGTGTGGAAGACATGGTGAGAAACAAGAAAGCTGCTAACAGGGTCATTATGGAATTATTGACTTGGCAGCTGTTAGCAAGATTGTGTCTGCTGTAATCAGGGAGGAGATACCTGTCAGACAAGATATTTATAATAGGATGACTAAGGATGGAAAAACCTGGCGACTGACTGTATGCACAATAGGGCCTAATGCAAATAATAAACACCACAACTTTCTTTTTGAAACCTTCTAGTACATTGATTGTCATGTCTATTTTCTACAAACCCATTATTAATATCTGCTGCCCCAGGCTCCCCTATGAACTGCTTAGCAGATCTGTTACTGGCCAGCGAATACTTTTACATTTCTAACACACTGTGAACACATACGACTGCTTCTTCCTCCTTTACATTTTTTTAGTGCACTTCCTGTTCCATTTTAGATTAGAAAATTCGAAAGAGCATGTCTTCATAATTCCTATTGTGATCATTAACACGCATACATGACTATACAAATGTTTTTTTGCTTCCAGTACTTTCAAACGCGCAATATACATAGATTAAAATTTGTACAGTGCTTTCAAGTCATTTTAATGTGATGAACATGTTCTACAATCGGAGAGCCTAAAGCAACTGAAAATGGTTATATAACATGCACTCAGATAAGATGGTACAACTGTTTATTATATTGCTGTTAATGTTGAAAAAGATATCCACAATCTGTCTGCAAAACCATAAATAAACAGTTACTCAAGTCAGGAGAACTGGTAATTAAAATGAAAAAGTGCTGAATATCAGATCTTTGTTTAAGTGACAAATGGTATAACGTTAGTAATGATAATGACAATGATATGTGAAGCGTATGGTGCTTTGGTATCTGCTGTTTAGATATAATGTGACAAGACAAAAAACGCCCGCTTGTAGTTAGTGATAGTTAGAAGGTGGAATAGAAAACAGGTTGACAAAGGCACAGCAGGACAGGAGGGGAGAGTGTTAATGAGCGATTGTCAGTAGAAACAGCTGAGTGTTGGATTATTCACTAGATAATCCGATTCTCTTTCCACCTCGGACTCTTTCTGTTCCCTTGTCTTACGCTGAAAACCTCTGGGTCTCTCTCTCTCCCCCAAATTCCCACCCCTGTAGGGGTGACAAATAGGGGTTTTTAGATCCAGTTACCCTGCCTTCCCCATCAAGATGGTTCTCTTCAAGACTAAATTTACTTTCCAAAAGCGGGTGAAACTTGCTCAAACTCTATGGCTTCTTTCATGGGTCAGTGTCCTAGTGGGGTGTCTGACCTTTGGCTTGGGGATCTTCCTAAAGGTTCAACTATGGATACACAATGAAGTGATGGACAACACCATGGCTCATGCTGTTCCTAACACCGTAATTGCTGCTGGACTTCTGGGAGTCTTGCTTGGTCTGTTTGCATGCAAAATCAGCCAGGACTCACTCGATATGGCCAAATATCCCAACTGGAAGTCTTTCATGCTCCCTTATTTTTTCATGTACTTCTTGAGCTGTCTGCTCTGCCTGACTGCCCTTTTCCTTAGCATTGTAATGAGAGGAAGTTTGGAGGAATCTTTGAAGATTGGCTTGAGGAATGGCATTAGGTTCTACAAAGATACTGACACCCCTGGTCGTTGTTACCAGAAACGGACCATGGACAAGTTGCAAATGGACTACCAGTGCTGTGGGAACAACCAGTACAAAGATTGGTTTGAGGTTCAATGGATCAGCAACCGCTACCTGGACTTCTCCTCCAAGGAAGTAAAAGAGTGAGTTTTGATACTACTAGAAAATTTAAGCAGTAAGAGCCTCTCTAGAAGAAATAGAAGTATAAAATATTCAGGGAGATTCGAATGCAATCAGACAGCCGGGTTCCGTGTATATCTATGAATACATTGGTATCTGTAATGAATTTTAATATACAAAATAGACTTCTCTAGCATCTGGATTGGTAAGCTAATAAAATCTGCATGCTCTATCTTATTTTATTTAAGAAGTCAAGGGTAAGCACTGCATATTGTATGACTTTTCAAATCGAACCATGAAAAAGGAATATTCAATCGGCATCTGTGACAGCTCAGGTGATGACCCATATACCTTCAAGTTGACATCATTATGGCTATCTTATTAGTTAGATGTGTCACAATGCAGTACCCATGTCAGCCTCTGGGTGACCCTGCATTAACATTTGTAATATTAAATCACAAAATGTGAAAATGCAGTGGTAGTCTTAACCTAACCCCACCAAAAATGTAATATATTGCAGTTTACCAGTCCTTAGTTGTGGTGGCTATGTTGTTTTCTTTTTTCAGGATCTTTCCCTTTATTTGCACCTGATAATCCTGCCAGTAACACACTCCCTGTCCTAGGATAACAACGCTCACTCAATGTACTGTGTCTATGGAGGAGCAGCATTGTCTACCTAGGCTAATCTCCTGATTTAGACTACAAACACCTCCCTCTTTTCTCATCTACAATAGATAGGGAGGATGTGTTTCATAGTTCACAGATGATAGCTGGGAAACGGATGAGATTGTTTGCAATATCAGTTTAGTGTACAAGGATTTACAAGGACACTGTAATTGTGGCAAGAGCAACAGGTATTTTTCTGCACTTGTAGAAAATGTACTTGTCCTAAAAAAAGAAAACGAATTAAGCCATTTCATATATTCATTGGTAACTTGCAACATATGACTTTTTTTGTTCTTGGGTTTAGATATCCTTAAAGCCCATGACTGCCTGTGGTCACCTGAAGGAAAAGCAAACTAGTCTGATTGTCTACTTCTTTTACAAGTCATTTTTGTTGCTGCATTACACACATCCAGTATATCAATTATTGGCTCATTTCCATCATTTCCTATTTCTGATTACACCAGGATAAAGGCTGGAAAACCAAATGTGCTTGGTGTTCAGAGAAAGGTATCAGAGATGTAAATTCAGTCCTGCTGATAAGAAAATCTGTAAGAAAAAAAAAAAACATTGTTGCTTGGGCGCTTTATAGTGTTCTTACTGTCTATATTACTGAAATGGTAAATGAGGAAGTAGAGAGTGGTTATTCTTACCGTCTGACAACGCTCACATATTGGGCAATGTGACATTTACTGGCGGTTGCTATGGCTGAAATTCTGTATACTACTTTGATGTCTCACATTCTTTCTCACATGTAATGTTTCTTTGCCACCCTCCCTCCTTCAATAATGCCTATTCTTTTATCTGCAGTCGTATTAAAAGCAATGTGGATGGCAAATACCTAATGGACAGTGTTCCATTCAGCTGCTGTAACCCCAGCTCTCCTAGGCCCTGCATTCAGAGCCAGATCACCAATAGCTCAGCCCATTACAGCTACACCTACCAGACAGATGAGCTGAACATCTGGGTCAGAGGCTGCCGGGAGGCCTTGCTGAGCTACTACACTGGAATTATGGCCACAAATGGGGCTGCTGTCACTTTGTTCTTCATTCTGCAGGTGAGAAAACCGGTCATTGCTTTGTTACTAGTAGATCTCATATTTGAAGGAAATGTTCTGCCTTTTAATGGGTACCTCAAAGTGCCTGCTTTTACTTTTACTAGCCATAAAACCCTCTTCTGTGTATTCCTTTGACGCTGGGTGCATTCTGCTACTATGGAATTGACTTCTCCAACTTCTAGGTCTAAGCTTCACCTCCAGAGATGTCCTCCTGCAGTCCCACTCTCCAAGCAGAGTGCTCTTATTGGCCACACAGGCACTGTAGTTGCATATTGGGAGGGCAGGAAGGCGGGCCTAGTCCTCGTAGGCAGGGCTTAGCCCTAAAATAAGAGAATCTCAGCCTTTCATAAGAGAGAGCTCTTGAAATGAGAGAAGCAAATAAGGGTAATAATAAGCATCTAGTGGTTAACCTCATGAAATACTTTGGTACCAGGTTTATTTTGCTTTAACACTTAGTTATGTATGCTCTAATTATATTATTCTCCTCAAAGCTAAACCTAAGCCCTACCTTCAGTCTTGCACAGTTGTACATGCTCCTCTTATGTAATAAATGTAACTGATCTGATATTTCTGCATACTGTGAGCTTCTCATAGTGTGCATTAGAAGCTGCATCAAGTCAGATAGAGCCCATCTCATTTCCTGGCTGGAGGATATCCAGCAAAATCTAGCTCTTTCCTCCCCATTCTTACTGTCCTTGGCCCATTCCTTAAGGTGCCCATACACTGCACGATTCTCGTACAAGAATCGCGGGAAATCCCGCGATCGTACGAGAATCGAGCAGTGTGAACGAAGACGTGCGACCGTTTCTACTGTATGGTCGCAAGTCTTTTATCTAAGGAGCATGCTAGAAGACCAGCCGAAAATCGGCTCGGGAGACAAATGCCGAACGGGCCGGTGTGCGCACGCGCACACTGCCCGTTCAGCATTGCGGTCATCAGAAGCCCGCCCCTAAGGGGGGCGGGCTTGCGATGATCGAGAGTACGATCTGCCTGTCCAAGATGGGCAGATCGTACGTTTTTTTATTCACTTTACAACCATCGCAAGACTAAGGTCTTGCGATGGTTGTACAGTGTATGGCCACCTTAACATTCATTGAATCTCAGACCTTTCAATCATGGAGGCTCAGTATCACATGTGTGTGTTACCTCAGGCAGTCTGCATGTAAATTAAGCCTGCCCAGAAATACCCACTTCTCCAGACTGACAACCACCAAGGCATTTTGATATTTGCATAACTTCTGCCAAGAGCCAGCCCACTGTTTGCATCAGGGCTGAGGACTCTTGAGATGAGTATTGGGGCAGCGTGTTGTTTTCAGAAAGATATTAACAGAACCCTGCCAGTCCCTCCCACCAGCCATGATGTGCCTGCACACCATAGAGAAGCACAGGGGCCCACTAATGACATCACTGGGTCTAAAATAACATATGTAATGAAAACAGGTTTTAATTAAATAGTAACAAGCATGATATTGAGGAGGTAGAGGAAGAACAATGGAGGCAAAATATGAGCAGATTAAACAAGAGTACATAGAAGGGTCCCTGCTCATTTTTCTTTTCACCCTTCTGTTAAATTGCTGACAGAGCACGACAGGGCACCATCATCTTTTTTGTGATATCAGTGGTGAGTCCAGCAGACAGAGAGCAGTCATTACAGTTTTGGTCTTCCATAATCCTGTGCAAACACTGTATTTCATGGCTCCCGTTGCTGTCCGTGGCTCACCCTGGCAACTTGTGTAAGCAAAGCAGCGGCAGCACAGAAAACGGAACCCAATGGCTCAGATCAGCAGCTAAAACAAGCTTTTCCTTTGCTTTGTTCTGCATCAAACTATAAAAAATGGCATTTTGTTTGAATTGTACAATGGCTGTCATGTTGATCGCCTGGCTTCACTAGTTTGAGTTGCTGACCCAGAGGAAGTAAATAAATTGGGAAGTCTGACTTCATTCATGTGCTGTATACTTGCAGACTACAAAAGAGTGAGACTTCAACTGATCTTCAAATATTTATCAAGCTTCCTCTTTTACTCAGATTGTAAGAAAGCTGTTGTTTCTTACTGCAATTTTTTTTAGGATTTTGTATGTTCATTTAAAAGAAACCTTTCCTAAGGGGCTGCCACATGCTGACATTTTGGAAATCCTAGTTGTCTGGATGCTGACTCACTTTATTTAATACCTTCTGAGTCAATGACATGAAACTTGTAAGCAGATCAGGGACGTCTGAAGGTATAGAAGAACTCTAGTTTCTCTAGAAGCTGTTTTCTACAATCCCCCCACCACTAGAGGATCGCCTCCTATGCTGCCATAGCCTGTCTTTTGGGTTGAATGAGGGCCAGTGTTATTCAATTCCTTTCCTGTGAGCCCAGGTTGTCATAGACACACCCCCTGGGTCAGTGTCATCATGTCATAGACACGCATCATGTTTTTGGGTTTGGATATGCTTTCATGTTCCTTGATAGTGTTCTGTTATGTGGGGTGCGGTAAACACGTTCTGCTTTTTAGGATTTTAAAGTCACCGGTACTGTTTACACTGCAAAATGTGACCTCATACTTGGTATAATCACTTGTTCGTCAAATACATATTTCCATTCTGTGTTTCAGTATGATCACAGAGCTATACTGTAGCCATTTCCGTGAAACTAAATCATGAAAATATTCATACAATCATACGCACTGTGTATGAAGCTATGCAATCAGTGTGTGTGTGTCTGTGTGTGTGTGTGTACAAACAAATACAGGCTACAAAATATTCCATAGTTATATTATGAAAGTCAATACTTTTAAAGTGGACCTGTCAGCAACAGTAACACTTCATGGCAGGCCACATGTCTGCATTACTAAATCACAGTTGTTTTCAATACCAATATCTAATCCTTTCTTTCCATGAAAACATTCTACCTTTATGTGGTCTAAAGCTGGAAAGACAGATTGTTCAAACTCTATACAATCTTCTTTCGATTTACTAAGAAGCATGTAGTGTGAGGGCCTACCTAAACATCTGTTCAATTTATATCCAGTGAGGCAGGCTCTCATACTACATAGGTGTTGGCAAATCTAAATGAGATTGTACAATCATACTGTAGCATGTGGCTAGTTGTAAATCCAAACTTCAGGAAAAAAAATCATTTACAAACTAGGCATTTACCCTACTGAGCACCTCGAATTATCTGAATCTCAGGGCTTTATGATATGCAAATGTCAACACTTCCTGGCTGTGCCAAGATCTGACCCACGCTTCCTTAATATACCCAAAATGAAAAACAAAGTTTTGACTTTAGTGAGGACTTTAGTACCCTTTAATACGTCCTCAAAAGCAAGCAGTAAATTGTATTTTCTGATTGAGGCTAGCAAAGGAAGCCAACCAATATCTCTCAACAAAGATGTGTTTTGAAGTAGATCTCCACCAAAAATCCTTCTTAGATAAAGTAGGAAACTCAAATGTTGACAAAACAAGACGCTAAATACCTCCAAATAAAGTCAAATGGCGTTAGCTTCATATGTTGGACTGCTTGATCAAACAGTAATCATCTCAGTAAAAGTTTAGATCAGTGCTAGGTCTCATGGGACCTGCAGTTCCACAACAACTGCAGTGCTGAAGTTGTCTACCCATGGTTTAAGTGGACTAGAAACATGGTACAGCTTGAGACGCACTCCTACTCTTCATCCCACTACCCAGCCACTCTCTCTTGCCCAGCCTGTGTCTCTGTTGCTGGGTAACAGGCCCTGCTCTGGGTATAACGCCCATTCTGCTCCCATTGGCTGCTGGGGGCACTCCCCACTCACAGCGTCTCCGTTGCTCAATGCTGCCTGTTTTATTTCTTCTGGCCTGATTGGCCATGGCACCTCTTGCCCCTATTTGAACATCACGAGCCATGGCTCTAGGCTGATGATTGTTTTGTCTACACTGGCCCTGTGCTATATGCCTTGAACCTGACTGTAGTAACCTGCCCTGACCCTAGCCTGTTTGACTCAGTCATCTGCAGCCTTCCCCGACCTTTGCCTTAACCTTGAATTCACTTCATCTGCTGCCTGCCCTGATCTCAAACTGTCTCCTAATTACACTTTGCTGCCTCTCCTGACTCACTAGCTGTGCTATAGTTCTTGTCTGATACTCCTGGATATTCACCAAACTGGGGTGCATGGGGGGGGGGGCTGGCTACAACCTAATACATATCCAGAAAGGTGATGAATGGAAAACGGCATTTCATATGTGAGAGGTACATTACCAGGTTACGCCACTTGGGTTATGTAATGACCAACCATCTTCCAGGAATTTGTTAATTATCTGTGAGTTTCTGGGCCAGTTCTTCCTAGTCTACTTGGACAACATCTTAATCTTTTTTTCCTTCCTTGATAAGCTCTATAACCATATCCGTGTGCTTCTATGTTCTTTCCAAGCTCCAGCAACACTCCTTTTATGATTGTATGCCAAACTTTCCAAGTGCACCTTTCATGTGTCAGAAGTTCCCTTCTTGGGGCTATGTTATATCCAACTCCAGAACAGCTATGGATTCCATCAAGGTAGAAGCCATTAAAGGGTATACATACACTTTAAGCTTTTGAAAGGCTGAGATACCCTCTGTGGGTTAGCTCCCTTTTTGGTTAGGGCAGTAAGGTGCCACAATGTTGAAAGTTTTTAATTAACTTCGTATAGACGTTTGCTAAGCCCAGAAAGTGTTTGACTTCTTTCAAATCCTTAGGTGTGAACCCTTTAATGCATTTCCGCCCCTACGTGAAGCAAATACAAATATTCAAACAACTGTACATAAATCAATGTGTAATAATAATGTAAATTACTTTTTTGTAGCTTCCACATACCCAGTCACGTGACCATCCTGTCCTTTTGGCAGGCAGAATTAGCAGGCAATCTGTGATACTACCTACAGGCGTGACAACAAGCAGTTCACATTGCTGATTGGTGGTCACATGTTGTTATCGGACAAAAAAAAGTAATAAAAACACATTTATATTTAAGTGCAAGTTTGTATATAACACACATCGAAGCC